TCACTTCTTCCCTATAGTTACTTCTTCCCTATGTCCTTCTTTCCTATGCATTCCTACCCCGAGCTACCTCCCTATGCAAATACTGCCCTGCTGTTCTCCCATGGGGAGCTCTGGTAGTGTAGTGCCTAAGGCATCTGACAGCTAACCAGAAGGCTGGTGGTTCAAATCCACCAGACACTCGTCGGCAGAAAGATCAGGAAATCTATTTTCATAGTGATACTGTCTCAGAAACCCAAGGAGGGGTTGCTGTGAGTTGGATTGGCAGTGAATTTGTTTTGGTTGGTTCTCCCATGATTGATCATTCTAAGCAATGGCTACCTGATGTAAATGGCCATTCTATACATCTATCTATTGTTTAGCTGGAAGCCACAGGAGTGAGTTCAAGTCCAAACCTGAAGGGTTACTAGGGACCATAGTCTTGGAGGTCTTACTAGGCTGTATCAGACCAGTAAATCCGGTCTTTCTCTATGACTTTGACTTTTGTTCCACATTGTTATTCCAATCTATCCAGCATCTCCTGCACTGATCCCTTTCTAAGTGTTTGACAGTGGTAGCCAGGCACCATCTAGTTCTTCTAGTCTCACAGGCATACAGAATGAGGTCTACATGGTCCACTAGTCCCTTGGACTAACTGTCTCCATGCGTCTTTGGTATTCTTCATTCTTCTTTGCTCTGGATGAAGAGAGACACATTGTTGCATCTATATGGCTGCTTGCAAGCTTTTAAGAACCCCATCGCTACTCACCAAAGGAGGATGTAGAACAGTATTTTTGTGTAGTATGTTATGCCAACTGAGCTTGATGTCCCGTGACCATGGTCCCAAGCCCACAGGCCCAACAACTCCATCTTGGTAGCAAGTTTGCCTAAGAAGTTATTATAACTTTGCCCCATTGGTTTTAATTATATGGTCATTCTTACAGCACATACAAAAATGTACGTAGAAATATCATCTGCCAACCTTATGTATGGTCATGGATTCCCTTTTGCCTAGGCATACCTGATCATTCAGCCTGTCTATCCATCTCCGTTAATGTTTCCTATCACTGAGAATGCAGTATTGTGTATGTAAAAGGGTTTATCTTTGTTGTCTGTACCTCTTGTGCACCTCTCTCTGTTGTCCTCTTCCTCAGTGTTATTGCATTGGTCACTCACTTGTAGTATATTGTCCTTTCCTTCACCCACATCAGTACTTGCCTCTAAGGTATTTTTTTAAGACCCTATATTCCCCATGGCCAAGCCTCTCACCTTCTCATTGTAGTTGATGGCAATCACATCCCCAGTGGTCAGACAGGCAAAGTTTCTCAATGCATTTTCTAATCTGCAGATACATACTGTCAAGGAAACATGGCAAGATGAGATCTTAAATCTGAAACTAGTTTCTGTGAGGGTTTCTGATGACTGACGTTAGATGGACAGAAGTGTACCATACTAGTACCAAGAACAAACAGCTGTAAAACAGGGGAACAGTACTCAGTAATAAAGGGAACAAACTTGTAACACATGCAATAATGCACGCAAGCTCACAAATCGTACACTGGAGGGAAGAACCAGCTACAAAAGAGTGCATACTACACAATTTCATTCACATGAAACCCTAAGAGAGACAACCCTAATCTATAAGGATTGAGAGCTGGATCAGGGGCTGGAAGGAGATCAGCCTAGGAGGGGCAAAAATAGACTTCTGGGGAAACTGGAAATGTTCTGATTGTACAGATGTATACACATAACAGGAGCCCTGGCGGGACAATGGTTAAGTGTCCTGCTGCTAACCAAAAGGTTAGCACTCAACTCATTCAACGGCCCTATGGGAGAGAGAACTGGGGATCTGCTCCCACAAAGATCATAACCTAGAAAATCTTATGGGACAGTTCTGCTGTGCCATATGTGGTCACATGAGTCCAAATCAACTCGGTGGCACCCAACAACAGCATGCATTTATCACACTCATGAAACTATGTGCATTTTATTGCATGTAAATTACACCTCAATAAAGTTGACTTTAAAAAGCCTATAGGAAACCAGGAACATGGGAAAAAGATTGGATGAATCATAGATTCATAGATAGGCACCCTCAAAAGTTCCCCAAAACCACTTCGAGACAGCCTTTGTCTGTCTGATAGTAAGTCTGGATTCCAACACATATTAAAAACCCAAAGAAAATCAGAAGGGGCTATGGTCACAGAGCGCAGTGCAGCGGATTGCTTAATAGGGCCCCTCGAGCCATCGTCCTCCATTTTGTGAGGTGCTGTAAATCCTAGTCTCTGTGCCCGTTTGGGGGGGTGCATCTTGAGTCCCACCTGCTGGAGGGTGTGACTCAAGTCACCACCCTTACCTTCCTTGAGGATATACATGGGAATGTTCTGGGAAAGTTCCCCCTCTCTTGCTCCAATTCTGAGTTTTCATTTGTCATCATCTCACCCCTGGATTTGGGACAGCAGCCAATTGGGATTCACCAACCCCTGCAACCACATGGGTTGGAAGAATCCTCCAGACCTACCCACAAACCTAGGACTTGCCAGTCTGTCAGCCTCCCAGCCTCCACCACCACCACGTGAGCCATTTCCTCGGAGTCTGTGAGTTCTACGAGACGTTGCAGCAAAATACAGAAGCCTAAGATAGGAGGAAGATTACTTGGAGGGGGAGGGGGAGAACTGATGTCAGAGATGATGTAGCAGCACGGCAGTTTGGAAAAGTTGGACATTTGGAACATCTTTACCCTCCCCCTCATAGGTACTCGCCTTGTGCTGATCTTTCTAAAAGAAATTATTCAAGCACAGATGTATGCCCTACTGTTGGTCACTGAGAGCCAGACCAGTGCTCCCAGTAGGAGTTCTGAGGAAAGGTTAGCACACTTTCCACAGGATAGCTTCTTGCATGCAGGGCAGTAAGCCTCCACCGAGAGTGCCATGGGCAGAGCACCCAGCACGGCCGGTTTGTGCCCAGGACCTGGCCAGCAGCAGCTTCTCCTGGCAATGGGCCTGGGGAAATTATGCAGGCACAGGGGGTGGAGGTGGTTTGTTTTCTGTTACTTTCCACCTATCTGGCATTGCTAAAACATGTTATTGTAATTTTCAAGAGTCAGAGTGGCTACTCTATACCTGCTAAAGAGGCGAGGCAGCTGTACCTTCTGACCTCTTCTAACCACACAAGACAGAATCACCATCAGTAGCCCATGGCCTATCCCTGTCAGGCCAGACATGCTGCCTCCCTCCAGCCCTTTCACCAACCCTAACACAAACCGTTCCTCCCACAGCACCCACCACCTTTCCTCTGGGTTCGATAATTCGCTGCAGTGGCCACACAGAACTCACAGATGATGGGGTTTATTAAGGAAGAAACCGGTTACAACTCAAGTTCAGAAATGCACTCAGTCTCTCGCAGCCTGCTGCCTCTCAGCTGACAGTCTCTTTAGTCTCTCTCAGCAGTGCATTTCTCTCTCTTAGCAGTATGTGTCTCTCATGTCTCTCAGGAATGCGTTTCTCTCAACAGCATGTCTTTCGCAGCCAGTAGTCAGAGAGACTTCTTCTGCCTCTAGAAGGGCTCCTTTTGAGCCTGGCAGAGTGCCCACTAACCAATCCCAACATCAGAACTCTATAGACCTGAGAGAAAGTGAACTTCCCAGAAGATTGCTTTGTGCTGGTTCAACAGAAATATTCCAGGTGGATAACTGTAGCAATCAGGAGCTACTCAGTTGCTCATGGCAAATTCCATCACGGAGTTGACAAAGACTTATGGCTAGAAATGCCACACTATATGTAATTTACTTCACCACATTACCATAATCTCAACCAACCAAATTGGGGCCCCTGAACTAAAGATCTTGATCTTAGTCCACACACAGCACATTCCTTGCCCACACTGTTCACTTCCTCAAATTACAGACATGCAGGTCTGGCTTCAATTTAGAGAACATTAAAAACCACTACAACCAGATGACTGGGTTTAAAAATTAAATTCTTCTGCACGGAGAAAGACTTCTCCAAAAGGGTAAAAATAGAACCTACAGATTGGGGAAAAATATTTGGCTATGACATATCTGACAAGGGACTTATCTCCAAAATCCACAGAAAACATCAACACCTCAACACTAAAAAGACAAACAACCCAATTTAAAATTGGGCAAGGGACATGAACAGACACTTCACCAAAGATATAATGGCAGCCAACAAATACATGACGAAATGCTCGTATCATTAGCCATTAGAGAGATGCAAAATCAAAACAATAATGAGGTATCATCTCATCCCAGCAATAATAGCAAAGTTCAACAAGACAGAAAATAGCAAATGCTGGCAAGGTTACAGAGACGTTTGAACTCTTATACAGTGCTGATGGGATTGCAAAATGGTACAACCATTAGGGAAAATCATATGGCATTTCCTTAAAAAACTGAAAATAGAAATACTATTTGATCCAGCAATTCCATTGCTAGGAATATATTCTAAAGAGGTGAGAGACAGGAGACAAACAAACATACACACACCTGTGTTCATCGCAGCACAATTCACTATAGCAAAGAGATGGAAACAATCTAAATGCCCATCAGCAGATGAATGAATAATCAAACTGTGGTACATTCACACTGGAATACTATGCTACCTTAAAGAGTAATGAAGAGTCCAAAATCATCTCACAACATGGATGAATTTGGAGGACATTATGGAGAGTGAAGTAAGTCAACTGCAGAAGGACAAATACTGTATGAGTCCATTACTGTAAAACGTCAAGAAAAGGTTTACTCAGGGAAGGAAATGCACTGTTAGTTAACAGGGACGGGAAGGAAGGAAAGGGAAAATTTCAGACTAATTGGGGGTCACATGTTGATTTGACTGAGGGGAGCGATGGTATGGAGAGTCTGTGACCAGCATGATGACACTGGGGAAAGGAAAGACACTGAAATATATACATAAGATACAGATGACAGAGGCAAATACTAGTACACACACAACACTACATTACCACTAACACCAAACACCAGGCTGTGCGGGTAAACGCATAGACAGGTGAGAAGATCAGGTGGGGGTAGGTGAGCAGAATATACCCTAAACCAAGGATAAATTTGGCTGAAGATAATTTTACATATGCACTTGTGTTACAAACATAGCCACATACATTACAGAAGCAACAGAAGACAGAGTTGGAGTAACTTCTCAGAGACAACCAAACACTAACTTTACACAATCACCGGGCCTGCAGACTCGGGATGACAGTCTTGGGGAACATCATGCTCAACTGGCACAACACAGTACATAAAATTCTTGTTCTACAACTTTCTTTGGTGAGTACCAACTGGGGTCTTAAAAGCTTTTGAGCGCCATCCAAGATGCAACTAATGGTTTCCTCTCATCTGAAGCAAAGAAGAATAAAGAAAATCAAAGGCACCTGGAAACAATTAGACCAAGTATAAGATGGACCACAAAGACCTCTGACTTCATGACGTGAAGACCAGAAGAAATAGATGGTGCCCAGCTACCAATGCCAACCACTTGGAAAAGGATCAAAACTGTAGATCCTGGACAGAGTGGGAGGAAAAATATGGAACAAAATTCAAAAACACAAAAATGACCAGAATTACTAGCTGGACAGAGATTGGTAGAACCCCCAACACTATGGCCCCAGGTTACCCTTTAGTCTAGAAACAGACTCACTTCCATGGATTGGCTCTCAACCCAACAGTAGAAAGACCTACATGCAGAACACCTAACCCCAGGGTGATGCACCTACCTACTCTATGGAGATGCACCCCTTAATCAGTCAGCCATGAGACATCAGAGGGGCAGCATTCACACAGAGGGAAAGCTGGACAGACAGGAATGCATAAATAAGAAGGGCACAGGGCGAGGCAGACAGAGGGAGGGGAGGAGAGTTTGTTATAGTTGGGGATGGTAATCAGGGCATGAAATCAAATGTGCATGAATATAAAACAAGTTTGCTTTATAAATTTTCACCCAAAGCACAATTAAAAAAACAAACAAACACTAGAACCCAAAACCTTTACTTTCTTGTTGCTGAGACACAGAAAATGAACTAAGTTAATTCTACCCACTGGAGGCATATGGAGTGAACATTTACATCAGGTAGATACAAGATACACTCCTTGGACTGATCAATCTTGGGAGAACAGAAGGGCAGTGTTTGCACAGGGAGATAGCTCGGGGGGCGGGAGTACATGGGAGGGAAGGACACAGTCAAAAGGTAACTACAGGGAGGTAGAGGGAAGAGAGCTGTTACACTGTGGGGAATTACAATCAATGTCTTGAAACAAAATGTGTATGAACTGCTGTATGGAAATGAGTTTGCTCTATAAACTTTCACTTGAATCACAATAAACATTTAAAAAAAAAAAAAATCTACCCACTGGGTTGGAGTGAAACAACTCTGATCCTGGGGAAACCCTGCGACTGGCTGTGCTGAGATGCCAGGAATTCCACAGAGGGACGGAGCGAGACAAGCAGGACCCTCCCGCCACCAGAACCTACGTGCACATGCTGGACTTGGCGCCATGCTCCCCATAAAAGAAGGGCTCATTTCCCCTACAGAGGAATGTCGAGAAAAGGAACCAGGAGAGGGGCAAATACCAAGTGCGTTCATTTAGGACCCAGGCCCCATGGCAGATAGGCAGGCTGAAAGCATTATTCTCAAATCATAACTTCAATCACAAACATGTGGTTACCAAAACAGGCACACATTCAACAAGTGTGTGACTGTCAGCACTCCCCTCCTTGACTAGAAGGAGCCTTCTTGCTTAAAAGGATACACTGCTTTGGGATTGGTGATGTCTAGGAAGTCAGGACTCTGAGGCTGAAATTTCGAGTATGTAGCCACTTGAAGGTTGACACTCTCCACCTGAACCAAGCCCCCTTCTTCCAACAGCAAATTCTGCATCATCTAAAAAGGAAGAACACAATACAGGATTAAGTGGCTGCCGTCACTACCATCTGACACACCAGGCAGGCCAAATTTTACATTCAAATGGCCTTTTCCTTTGGGTCTGTGAGACAAGGACTTGGAGACAGGTCATCTAATTGAGACATGAGGGGAGGAGGGAGGGAAAACTGCACACCCCTGCACAAGTAAGAGAATGTGGAGGAAGAAAGACATGGAAGGAAGAAGGCTGATAACGGGGTGGTACTGAGACCACTGCAGCAGGCAACACGAGTGTGCCTCTGACAGGACCTGAGGAGAGATCGCCTCCTAGACTGTATATAGGAAACCCGGGCGTTGTAGCATCAGCCACCAGCCCCAGACCTCCCAGAGATGCTCCCTCCCATACTTTCAAGCTGCCCACATGCAGCAGGCCCAGGGAGCTCACAGTGTGGACAAAGCCCTCTGAGAAAATATGGGGAAGTGTGTCTCTTGTGCTTGAGAGGCCACACTTGAGGTCAGCACATGAGTGTGACCTAGCATGGCATGGCCACCACAGCTAAGGCTGAGGAATGGTGACAGGTATCAGAGATGTCTGCCACAGGGGCTGATAGAAAACCTCTATTAAACCACGCTGTGAGGCAGACCACAGCTGAGGGGTGAAAAGGAAAGATGAGCAAAGGCCTGTGAGACACTAGTGTGCAAGGAACACAGACCACTGCGGTAAAGACAAGACGCTGAGGTCAGTGGCTAGGAAGTGGGGCCAGAAATGAGAAACCTTTGATATCCTGGAATGCTTTTTGTCTTTTCTTACTTTAAACCTTCTTAAAATTTCTCCAACACACAGAAGCAGAGAAAGCAGCACAAGCGAGCCTCCATCACCAACTCCCAGCTCCAGCCATCCTTGAATCATGGCCAATCTTGTTTCTTCTAGCACAACCCTCTGCAGCACACCACCAGGCACCATCACATCCCCTTCGAGAGTGCTTTGCCCAGAGTGGCACTATTAGACAAACCATCCCATGTTAATCCTGCAGGTGAACAGAGACCTTTGACTCCACTGTCCTGCAGAGGCATGATGAGAAGCAGGTAAGAGGTGACTAACGGCCCAAGAACGGACCAGGTGGTACCTTTTAGGTAAGAAATACAGAACACAGCTGAGAGACAGAGCTTGCCAAGTGAAGAGGCTGTACCTAGAAGTGAGGCCAGGGCCAAGGAAGGTGGTGTGAGATTGTATGGGACCACATGAGACAAGCCTATGGAGGCCCCAACATCCTTGGGAAAACATCATCATTGAAGGAGGTTCATCAGGCATGGACCAGGAGATCGGGAACTATAGAAATTGAGGGATGATCAGACGAGCAAATGCCATGAGCAGGACTGAGACGTAACTTGATTTAGTGACTGAGACCTTCTGGTGACCTTGGGGAGTGATACATACTCAAATGGAAAGTGTTGTAAGGGTCAGAAGTCACACTGTCGCAGGACAAGCGTGCAGTCCCTCGGGTAGGCTTTTTGGAGAAATGTGTCAATGAGGGAAGGAGGATAACCAATGATATCAAGCTCTGAAGTCCTGAGCAAGGCTGAGATCACAAGCCGGGGGAGCCTGGTCAGGGAGGAGGGGGGCAGAGCTAGGACGCAGTCACAAGTGGCCCAGCTGCAGAGGCCTCAGGTCATCAAACAGCTCAGGTGTCAGTGGAAAGACCCACGCCCTTTCAGGCTGAGAGGCCTGAAGAAGTCTGGGGAACTCCACGTAGGATGGAGTTAACCCATCGTCCAATGGGATGCATATGCCCACACACCCAGGACTCAGGAGTCATAAAAGCCACTGGGAGACCCCAGACAACTGTCTGCCCATTCCCAGAGAGCTGGAAAAACAGCTCTCATAGCCCATGCCAGCTCCACACTTCACGCCACCCAGAAGCCTCCTAAGGGAACACAGTGTCTTTCTGTGAAAGGGATTCCGCTCATTTCCAAGCCCAAAGTGGTCTTAGAGTTTGGACAGTGTGTCTGTGGACTTGGAAGGGTACAGTGTCCCTCTAGTGTTACCACCTCCTGTTTTATCTCCACAGAGGAGATGCAGAGGGACCTTTCTGTGGGCCTGGAGTAGATCTGGGAGGGAGCTACTTACAACATTTCAGCCACTCACAGAGCAGCTTCTGTGACCACGGGCTCTACTGAATGAGCAAGACGTGGCCTCGTACCTATGAGGGGCACCTACAGACAAAAGGACGGTAAGGCACTGAGCAGCAAGTGTTATGAGGGTGCCTCAGGGACACAGTGAAAGGAAAAGCAACCAAGGAGGGACATGTGTCATTCCTGGGCTTTGAGGTGTGAATAGGAACTCCCTGCAGACTAAGCCAGGGAAGGAAGCAGCCTAGGAAAGGCCAGGCAGCAGGACACTAGGATCTGAGCACTGCGTTCCTGGGGGGTGATAAGAAGAGGGTCAGGTTCAGCCCTTGTGAAGGAGCCAGGGATCCCAGCTGGGGAGCTGGGGTGGGTGTGGGCCTGGAGGGTTCTCCCAGACAACCTGAGCAAGAGGGAAAGAAGTTTAGAATTTCTGTTTACATTTCATCTCAAAAAAAAAAAAGAAGGGATCACGGACTCAACTTCTGTTAAGATAGAAGACCAGGCAGACAAGCGACACAGACCCTCTTCAAAAAAAAAGAAAAACCAATTGACAGAGATACAGAAGATAATCCTGGAGCCCTGAGCTTTGGAAGGAAGGCTACAGAAGTGGATTAGGCACCAACTAGTGGAAAAACCTGAACGAAAACAGTGAGTACAGAGATGGTCAGAGCTGTGGACTGTCAGCTACTCTGACGGGACCAAAAGCCTGAATATTTCCAAGTGGTGCTGGGACCTGAGAATTGACCCAAAGATCAGCCCTGGTTGCCAAGGGCTGCAGGGAGGACTGTGCTGATGACCTATGACTAGGAAGGGAAACAGCAAGGAGGGAGAAAACCTGAGCTGTGGACTTTCCACTGTTCAGGGGGCAGAGCCATTTTGATTATTTACAAGTGGCAGCCATTTTGGATATTTAAAGTGACCAAGGGTGCAGCCATTTTGAATCTTTAAAGAGGCAGCCATTTTGGATTTTAAACTGACAGCATTCTCATTTGGATTCCAGGGACCTAAGAATAGGCTGTTTGTCAAGGTTGGCAGGGACACAGGAGAGGCTGACAACAGGAGACAGGTGATGAGTGTACAAGTGCTGTCAACTAGTGAATAGAGGAGCACAGCACAGTACCCTGCTTACAGAGAAAATACACACACACACAAAAAAAAATGAAAATCATGAGGAAGTCACTCCAACATATAATCACCAATTAATATAAATACAAAAACGTCACAATGCCTCAGAGACAACAGAGCATTACAGTCCACTCAAAGAAGCAAGATAAAGCAGGATAAACAAGTGACCAGGATATAGACTCAAAACACATCCCTGAGGAAGACGAAGCATTGGAACTCCCTGATGAG